GATTCACTCCAGTGAATCTGGATTCACTCCATTGAATCTGGATTATATTGAAGAATAAGAAACTTATGGTAAAAAACAAGCTATAAAATTTTAAACCATGAAAAGATTTCATCTTTTACAGCAAAAAATTATGATTTTTATGGTAAAAAACAAACACCTCACATACTGAATCTGGATTCACTGCAGTGAATCTAGATTCACTGCAGTGAATCTAGATTCACTTATGCGTGTCTTCGTTTTTCAACTGGTTTCTTCAAAAAACAAAAAACTTTTCAGACTAAAAGGTGAAATATTTCACCTTTTACAACAAAAAGCTACGATCTTTAAGGTTAAAACTAAAACTTTTAGACGAAAAATCAAACAAATTTTATAAACTTACCATTAAAGCGTCAAAATAATTTAACAGCCCACTGAATCATGAAGACGAAGGTTGAAGAAGACCGTGAAGACGAAGCGTCAAAATAATTTCATAAACCATGAAGACGAAGGTTGAAGAAGAGAGATGTTGAAGAAGAGAGAGGTTGAAGAAGACGAAGGTTGAAGAAGAGAGATGTTGAAGACAGAGAGAGAGTTGCTGTGATTTTGGAGAGAGAGAGAGTTGCATGGGGAAATGGAGAACTCAACAGAGAAGCATTAATTATCTCTTTTTAGTGGGCTGTTTATTTTACCTAATTACCCTTATGCAGCTTTAATCTCAGCCATTGGATGAATCTAGTATATATATATATATATATATATATATATATATATATCTGTGTGTGTGTGTGTGTGTGCGCGCGCGTGTGTGTGTGTGTGTATGTGTGTGTGTGTGTGTGTGTAAATATGTATGTGTATAAAACCTGTCTTTCTGCATCTGTACATTGGTCGGTCGATCGACCCTAGCAATCGGTCGACCGATGGACACTGATCGGTCGACCGACCCTAGCAATCGGTCGACCAATGGATAGCTGACGGTTTTCGGTTTGTTTTAGGTCGAGTCTATTTTGTACATCTACATTTACATATATACCCGACTTTTTCCTATTTTATTCTTCATATCCCACGTTCTGAGCAGCAGCCACCCTCTCAAAATCCTAATTCATCAGTTTGAGTTATTGGAGAGCTTTGAGAAGCCAAATGACCAAGAGAGGGTGAGATCGGCGATTTTCTGTAAGTGGGATCAAGTTCTTCGCGTGTGTGGGAGTTCAACACGAAATTTTTGAGGCGAGTTTTATCTCCTCCAATCTCATCTCCGTTTTCTTGGTTTTATTGGATTTTTAAAACCTATTTTATGAGTAAAGATCACCTTTTTTATCTGTATAACGTAAAGATTTAATATTTCTGATTTAAAAAGTTATGAAATAGATTCTTTGATTTGGGTTTAAGATTTGAAATAGATCTAACGTGAGATTTTGTTAAATATTTGTTTTCATAATGATTTTCAAACATAAACATGTTTGGGTTTCATAGAATTCCCCAAATCTTTATATTTGTGTTTTTATCTTTTAGAGTAAACCCTAATTACACTAAATCAAGTTTTATACATGGGTTCTTTTGAGAAATTTTGATTTTTTTGTTCATGATAGAAAAAAACCTGAATTGTATTTTATCACCAGCATCAGTCGACCGATCAAATAAATCGGCTGATCGATTGGTCTGTAGGAAACTGGAGAATTTCCTCTAGCCGGTTAACCGACCTAGGTAATCGGTCGACCGATTGAAGCTGATCTGTGTGCATGTTTATCGCCGCCGGTCGACCGATGGGTTATGTCGGTCGACCGATTTGAGCTATTTTGTATACGTTGATTTCTTTCCATGCATTTTTGATCGCAAATACGAAGTACGAGCCGTACGTCGACACACGTACGTGACCATGAGATGCAATCATTTGTTCTGATCACGCATGAGCTTTTGGAGGTGCGTAGTCTAATATTTTGAGCTTGTCATGATAAAGAATAACGTTCGTTTCATTTTACGCTAATTTTGGATTCTTGAATGGAGTTAGTTGGTGCACCATAACGAGACCGTGGTTGACTACACTCAGAGTGCGTTAGTTGGTGTACTACAGTGAGACCGCAGTGGACTACAGTCCGTTATGCATCATTGTGTTTCGGATTAGGCTGATATGCCTATGCTTCGCAGGGTGTTCGAGTAAGGTAGTGAATCGTAAAATATTGCGTTGATCCACAGGATATTATGAGCGCCTCTACTCCACACTATTTTCTTTGTAGGGAATCATACAAAATTATAAATTTGCTCCCGTGTTACCTACCTCGAGGGTAGAGTATAAGGCTATGGTTTGTTATGTACTATGTATCCTAGACGAGATCTTTTACCGAATATTTGTTTTTGTTCCCACGCCAACTACCCGAGGAAAATGTGAGTTGTTATGATACGATTTGTTATGGATGAGGCTTGGTAATGTATTGTTCTTTGTTAATTATTTTATTCATAGGATTTTGGAGTTGATATTTAGCGATACACAATTTAAGATACATGGTATATATATGATGGTTTCCTTGTTTGGATTATTTCACTCGACGTACTTATTCTCGTGTTGTGGGTTTCTAAATATTAATTCCTCTTACTTCAGGATGTAGGATTTATATATCTATATATGCTATAACTTGTATTTTTATACACCGAACCCCCTTCCCCCTGAGGGCGGTGGAGATGTTCTCGCTAGCGCTTTGATGCTCGTTGTTTCCATCTTTTTCAGAAAACGTTTCAGGGGTTCGGAGAGTCGCAGGTTGACGGACACTCAGCATAGTTCGACGTTATTTATTAGTAGATAGTTAGTAGGTGCTCCACAATGGATATTTTATTATTTTTAGTCTTTTAGAATTGTATTTCTTTTGGAGGCTGAGTGCCTATATACTTTTCAGTTGACTCTTTTGCATTAGAGATTCATTGTCTTTATTTCGGTTTATTGGATGTACTTTTTTTGTTCTATTAGAACATGATTACACTTATTATTGGATATTTTCTCTTTATTGTGTTCCTTGTATTGTTATCTTTACTATATCTGCTTGTACCCTCACTTCTTGTATTTGATTTTATTAGAGAGATATTACTGTGATGGTAAAATATGTTGTTGCACAGTGTTGGGTGCATGACGGGTTTGACATCCTTGGATTCACCTTGGACTGTAGCCTTGTGTGAAACCAGGGACGTCATATAACTATTAGTTAAAGTATGTATAACCTTACTATTAATACTTATTATCATCAATGATCATGTAAAATAAACTATTCTAGTAATAATAATGAAGTATAAATCAATAGTGCAACATTGTTGATTATCACAAATACTGAAGTATAAATTAATAATTTTGATGTATAAATTCATATTAATCATATAACATCATGTGTTCTACCTTTAAATCCCTAATTTCCTATATCAATCTCAAGTTTCTAATCTTTGGTCATTAATCTTTCATCTCCACTCTTTTCCCATTCATATTAATCGAATTTGATGCACTTGTTCCCATCATTATCTTATGCATTACTTACCTACTAAAAGTTCTCACAGAATATTGTTGACTCTAGGTAAATACCTATTAGTCAGTGTGAGTTATGTGTATGCATAAAGGGTTACTTACTCTTTTTTTCTTAATCAAACAGTACTTGTTCTAGTTTGTTATCGTCTAGTTCTAAGTTGAATAGTGGGATAACTGGGGTAGTAGAACTTATGTTTTTCTATATAGGTAGAACAATGAGTGGGATAATTTTTAAAATTATCACAGTTAAATTTCTACCAAAATTCTACTTGACAAACATCTTTAAAACTTATCCCAATTCTAGTTCTAACTAATTAACACTATTAAATTTTATCCCACCGATTATCTCAGTTCTAATTAACTACTGCTTGAGGAGATGAATACGGATGACATGACATATTGCTATTTGAATAGCAAATAATAATAATATAGCTTCCATAAAAAAGCTCAGATTCTAGAGAGATCCAAATATTAATTGGATATCCTTGATTACGCTCTGTAGTTCAAAGGAAAATGATTCACATTGGTAACTCTAGTTCATAATTCTAGTAAAAAACAACTTTATATATGAAATATAAATACTCTTTTTTTAACCCAAAAATCACGAGAGAGATTAACTATGGGATATGTGACATATGTTATCTTCTTAAAATTCCAACCAAGATCAACAGCTATAGTATCATCAATTGTTCATATATAACCGGTCAACATTGTATGCATGTTGTCATAATATCCATAAGATATTAAAAAGGGTCATATTTAATATCTATCTTCGTTTAGAAAAACATTAATGCCTCAGTGACCTAAATAGGGGACTTAAGGCATGTGATAGGTGAGGTGTCATCCTCCGGTTGTATGTTATACTATTCATAAACAGTGCATCATACAACTGGATGGTGATACCTCATCTGTCCCATGCATTGGATCACCTATTTGGGTCCTTGTAGCAACACCCTTAGAAAAAAGATATCATACATTTGCCTAAATATGGACGTGGATCAAATTAGGCTGATCAGTTATATGCATACACATCCACAGCGATTATTTCCAAAATAAAATATTTTTCTCCAAATTGTAAATCATGTAGGAAACATTATAACAACATTACAATGGGACCCATGCCTCATTAATTATTAATTAGTTAAAGAGCAAAGCATGCCTGCCTCACGAACCACAAAAATCATACCTCATTTATCTCCAGATCTTGAAAGAAAGAGAGAGAGGAAGGGACGCAGGCACCCCTCTTTACGGGTTCCGGAAAACGAACAACAACATGGGATCCGTTAACCCGACAGGCTCACATTAAACTATATCATGCACCGACAACTGGCGCGCCATCGAAAAAGACTGAGGAGGTGTTACGTGACGGAGCTCAGGAAAACCGCATTCTAGCGCCTTCTTCCCGTTCCCCAAACTACCCCTCTCCAGAGATTTCCCCCTGTAGTCCTGTGCCCGTTCCCCTCTGTCCTTTTCCGTAATTCACTCACAACCCCCAGTCCTCTATTTAAACCTGACCCCCCCACATCCCATTTCCTAACACCAAGCTTCCGCCTCCGAGAAAATCGCCTGTTTTTTGCAAAGAGCTGCCCCTCTGTCATCATCCGCAGTTTTCCCAACCTTCATCGATCAACAATGGCTCCCACCATCATCAACAAGGCCTTGACGACGACTCCTGCCGGGTTCAAGAAGCCGGCATCGATGGGGCCCCGTCGAGCCTACGTTACGTTCCTCGCTGGCGATGGCGATTATGTTAAAGGCGTGGTCGGCCTCGCGAAGGGGCTGAGGAAGACGGGAACGCCGTACCCGTTGGTTGTTGCGGTGCTGCCCGATGTGCCGGTGAGTCACAGGCAGGGGTGTATTGTCCGCGAGATCGAGCCCGTGCACCCGCCGGAGAATCAGACTCAGTTTGCTATGGCTTACTATGTTATTAACTACTCCAAGCTTCGCATCTGGGGAGAGGTAATTAGTTAAGCACTTTCATCTACAGACAGCACTGATATTACGCCCTTTTTAGTATTCTCAAGACCGATTAAATTAGTTTATAAACGTTAATATCTCCAAAATATTTTAAAAGAAAAAGATAAAAATTATGTAGAAAATATTCAAATAAGCATCGTCTAATTTTTTTTTATATAACTAAAACTTTTCTAATTATAAATTAAAAGGAACTAAAACTTATCTAACTATAGTTAAAAAGAATTTGACGTTCTTTAAAATTTTCAAATTGAGGAGAAGAGCAAAGTTGAAGACGTGAAGTATGAGTTTTGAGATAAAGAATAATTATATTTTAAATTTTAAAAAAATAGATTTTACAGAAACTATTTATCTTTTTTTTCTTAAAACTTTAGGTGCTGTGGCCCCACTTAGACTGTATATAGATCCGTCCTTAGACTGTATATAGATCCGTCCTTGGCCGTGAGTTTGTTCACTATCAATTTCCTAAATCATGAGTGGTTTTTTTTATAAATTTTTTTTCTTTATCAAAGACTGAAAGGAATATTCTAGTATTGGATGATCTTTTATTAATGAAGTAGATTGAGAGCGGGTCATGTCGGTTCGCGAAGACTAACTGGTTTTGTGAAATGACAAATTTGCCCTCGCAGTTTGTGGACTACAGCAAGATGATATACCTGGACGCCGACATCCAAGTCTGTGGGAACATCGACGAGCTCTTCGATCTCCCCGGCGGCTACTTCTACGCCGTCATGGACTGCTTCTGCGAGAAGACGTGGATGCCACCTCTCATACCAAATCGCGCTACTGCCAGCAAATGCCCCGGTTAAGGTCCAGTGCGACCCGTTCGGAACAAGATGGGCCCACCGCCGCCGACTATACTACTTTCACGCCGGCATGTTCGTCTTCGAGCCCAGCGTCTCCACCTGCGAGGCTCTGCTCTCCACCCTGAAGGTCACCCCTCCCACGGCCTTCGCTGAACAGGTACGCAACTGTCATTTCTGCGGTCTTTTGGGGGCATTTTCGTCATCCGGCGGATTCTGAATCATCCGTACTTTTTTCTGTTTTAGGATTTCCTGAACATGTTTTTCAGGGACATATACAAACCTATCCCTCTGGTCTACAACCTGGTTCTGGCCATGCTGTGGAGGCACCCGGAGAATGTGCAGCTGGACAAGGTCAAAGTCGTCCATTACTGCGCTGCGGTGAGTGGTTCGATCTCAGCCGTCCAATTTGGCTAGTAACGTTTTTTTTTCCGATTTTGCTGATTTGAGGGGTAATTTTGTAATTCCGCAGGGGTCGAAGCCATGGAGGTATACGGGGAAGGAGGAGAACATGGACAGAGAGGACATCAAGGCGCTGGTTGAGAAGTGGTGGGATATTTACAACGATGCCACTCTGCGACTACAAAGGTGGGTCCCTGCCGGCAGGAATCTCCGGGGCGGAGGTGGCAGCCTTCGGCTGGCTGAAAGGCGGCGCTGTCGGAGGCGGAAAGTATTTCGGGTCAATGTTCTGCGTGACCGCTCCGTCTCGCTTTGAGACTAGTCACTGCCGCATGCGGGCTGGCACGCGGAGGGCACGTGTTGGGCTGGTGTCGGTTTCTTTTTGGGCCGGGCCAGATGGATTAAGACAGATAGTGCACGTATGCGAGTGGCGTGGTATTTTGAGTATAGGGTGTGTATACGTTGAAAAAAAAAAATTGGAAAAAAGGGGTTTGGTTGTGTAGTGATATTTTAGTAATATAATACAAGTTTTGTATATGCGTGCTTTGTGTTGAGGTTATCTTGGTTGATGACTCATTTTGGTAACGCCGCTTTCATTTTGTGTGGAGTTCTTTGGGTGATCTCTTAAAAAAAAACAAAGTGTTTACGGGGTTTAAAAAAAAGTAAAATCAATCTGAGGTAGCGTTTGGCATAACGATTAAGGAGGTTTGACGCCCTTCTCAACCATTCAAATAGATCAATTTAATTAAAGGGCTAAAAAGATTCTTTACAAGAGACGAAGAAAGTGAAAAAATTCTTTACAAGAGATAATGAAAGTTAAGTAAATGAGGGGTTAATAAATCCTCTCTGAAAAAAAGATAAAAAGGGCTAAAATATTCTATCAAAGAGATGAAGAAAGTTATGAGGGGTTGATAACCGAAGAACGCACCTGCGTGAAGAGGCGAGGGCGAGCAGGCGTTTGAGAACGGCAATTTGAGAACGGACATTGCCCAAAGGAGGATGCTCGCCTGAATTTTGGGAGGCGAGGACGAGCTCGCCTGTAGGCGAGGGCTGGACATGCGAAGGTGGGGCGTGGAAGCTCGCGTGTAGGGCGAGGAGGCTCGCCTGCGTCGGGTGAGGTGCGGAGTTCGACTGATTCGTTGCCTTTGGTGGGGACCAGCTGGCTCCAGCTGGAGTTTGCCCTAGGGTTTTCCTATAAAAGGGAAACCCTATTCACGAGTTCCCTTTGGAGCGGAACTTCTCAACGACGGCCCCTCTGCGATTTTGAGCTCTGATTTGGGGGAATTAAAGAGGGGGCTGAAATCAAAAGGGGAGTAACTAAGAGGGAGTTTTGAGGAGAAATTTGAGCAGTGTTTTTTAGATTAAAAATTACTTGCTGTTGTTTTGAGAGATCTCAAGTTTGAGATATTCTCCTTGAAAGTTTGTAATTTCTTGTGATTGAATAAGAAATTATTTGTGCCGCTCCCGTGGATGTAGGCAAATTGCCGAACTACGTAAATATCTGTGTTTGTGATTGACTTGGATCATATTCAGTTGAATTGTGACCGTGTTAGGTTATTTCTCTTCTCCCGTGCCTCACAGATTAGGTCGGTGTGCAAGCACACTTCCACAAAGGTGCATAAAAATTAGTATCAGAGCTCAGATTTGAGATCTAGGGTTTGACATTGTATGAAGGAAGATTTAGTTTGGAAGCATGGTTCTTGGAGTTCTAGGCTTCGGTAGAGATAGCGTTGAGGAGTTCCATGGTGATCTTGCTTTCTTTGTGTAGTTAGGAGATCAATTTAGAATCCGATTTAGGATTCAATTGGGTATCTTCTTAATTCTATCAAAGTTTGGATCTTTCTTTGGAATTCGGAGGTTATGAGTATGGGAGAAGTAATTGGAGAAAGCACCAAGACTATGTCGGGTACAGTTCAAGTTGGTTTTCAGAACACTAAGATTAGTGTAGTGAAATATGACGATAAAATTAACTTTGATTTGTGGATGAGTGACGTACAAGACACGCTCAATGCTCAGAATTTGGAGGAGACCATCATGGTCCATGAGAGGCCACCAAAATATAAAGAGGCAGTATGAGAAAGATAAATAGGAACGCTTGTGCGATGATCAGGTCTTGTTTGGAACAAGAGCTGAAGTATAATGTGATTGGGTAACATTTACAATGAAGATGTGGAAAATTGTCAACAATAAGTACCTTACGAAGAGTGTTAAGAATCGTTTACACTTGCTGCGAAGATTGTTCAGATTTTAGATGTCCAGAGACACCTCACTAGCAGTTCATGTGAACAACTATACGAAGTTGTTGTCGGACTTGGCGAATGTGGATGAGAAGATCACAGATGAGTACAAGGCTATCATTCTTTTGGGGTCCTTACCGGATGAGGATTATGATACTTTCGTACTTACTTTGTTAAACTGAAGATCTTCTATCACGTATAGTGAAGTTACTAACGCTTTGACGAACTATGATTTGAGAAGGAAGGACAAAGAGACTTCCTGTGCTAGTACTTCAGGAGAGGCATTGTCGACGAGAGGTAGAAGCCCATATCCGAGAAGTGGCAATAGAGGCAGATTAAAGTCTAGAGGCCATCACCGGTTAGCAAAGAACCAGTGTGCGTTCTGCAAGGAACATGAACATTGGAAGAGAAACTGACCGAAGCTCAAGGAGAAGGAGAATGTCAAAAAGAAGGGCCAGAAGGCCAATGAGGTGAACGTTGCGAAAGAAGATGATTCAGATGATTCGAGCTTTTCTTTTTTGATTACTCCAGAGGTGAACCATTTGGATGCATCATATTGGATGCTAGATTCTGACGCTACCTATCATGTGACCTCTAGGCGAAATTGGTTAGCATCATTTGAGAGAATCGTCGGGAGTGTTGTAGTCATGGGAAATGATCAATTTTGTGGTATTTGTGGGATAGGTACCGTGCAGATTTGGATGCACGATGGAGTAGTTCGTGAGTTGAAAGAGGTGAGATTCGTTCCTTAGCTGAAGAAGAATCTTATCTCAGTTAGAGCTTTGGAGGCGAAGGGATTTAAGGTGACCTTTGAGGATGTTGTAGCAAAGGTTACTAAGAAATCTTTATTGGTGATGAAGGGAGTCCGTAGTCGGAACTTATATTATCTGAAAGGGAGCACCGAGGTTGGCCAGGTAGCTTCAGCTAATTCAGAGGCGGACATGAGTAGACTATGGCACTATAGGTTGGGGCACACAGGAGAGAAGTCACTGCAGGCTTCGTGCAAGTAGGGGTTATTGAAGGGAGACAAGAGTGAAAAGATAGATTTCTGTGAGTGTAGGCGTCAAAAAATGCTGAAAGATATCCAAGCGTAGCTCAAAAGGAGGTTATCAAAAAATTAAAGAAAAAAGACACGAGTATAGACTGTCTCGCACGCGAGATAGTCTTTACTGTCTCGCCATGCGAGACAGTATTTACTGTCTCACCATGCGAGACAGATTTTTCTGTCGTCGCATGCGAGACAGTTGTACTGTCTCCACGCGAGACATGTTTACTATCTCGTACCGTGAGACAGTGTTCGCTGTCTTCGCACGCAGAGACCAGTTTTCAAAGGTTTAGAATGTTTGTATACTGGTTTTTTTTTTTTTTTTTGCTGACACATGTCCATGTAACTGTCAAAGAACATGGGGAAACGTCGTGGTGAGAATCACGTGATGAACTGTCACAAATAAAGAGTTTTGAAACGTGGCAGACGTTACGGTGGATAACCGCTGGGCAGTTGGGTTTTCCGAGACACAGTGTTTACTGTCTTGGAATCCCGAGACAGTAAACTCTGTCTCAGTCGCCGAGACAGCAAACACTGTCTCGGCAGCCGAGACAACAAATGCTGTCTCAGAAGCACTGTTCATTCAGAGTTTATAAATACCCCCTGAGATCGATTTCTGAAGATGGATGGGCATTTTTGGAGCAGACAGAGCAGAGTACTTGAGCTTCTGACAATTCCTTGAGATTCGAGCTTTGACTTGATCTTAAGAAGAGTGATCGTCTTACTTTGATAAGATCTTCACTTCAAATTCCTACTTCGATAAACGAAGGAAGAATCATTAAACCCCTCACGATTCAATCAAAATCTGTGATTTAGTGGTCTACGGGCTAACGCACCCCCGACACAGGCAAAGATCCCACGCAAGCAGCGATCCAAATAACGATCCTGCGTTTGTTTCTAAAAAGTTATAATTTTCCTTTTGTTGTGTAAAAGAAGTCTTATAAAAAAGCTATCTCTTTTGAATTTATTGTAATCGATCGAAGATATAATGAATTCCATAACAAGACCAACTTTCGACACAAACAAACTGGCGACCACAGTGGGAGCTAGCGGCCTCGCTGCCGATGCCGCAGTATCGCAACCGATCAAGATACTGATTGAGTCCATGGTTGAATATGAATTCGACCAAGCAAAGTTTGAGGAATATCTGTCATCCTCTTCCTCAAAGTCTTCCTCGCCTCACAAATGCAGGAGGATTCCATCTTCTAAGAAGGTTTTCAAGTTTTCGACTCCGTCGAACACTACAGATGAAGACTCTCGCTTGATTGTTGTTGAGGATTCTACTCGCAACCTCTCTGCTCACAATGACTCTTAAAAGAGTCATCGAATCAAAACCCACCAGCACTGACGAAGAGGGCTCGTCAGAGACAACGTCAGCGCCGTGCTCGCCAAATAGCTAAGGCCTTGGAACAAACCGACGGGGTTCGTTATCACGCGGACCTAGAGAACAACCAATCACTCATATCTCTGCTAAACTAATGACGGATGAATGGACTTTTGTCAAGAGGGCTCGCTCAACCCTCGAAGAACGTATACAAAAGCGTCGTGCAAACGCTGCTTATGCCCGTGCTCTCTTACAACAAAGACGAGAAAGAAACAAGAAAACGGTGGTCAAAGAACCACCAAAATTCTACAAAGTTTGGATTCCAAAGTCTGGAGTTATGCAAAATCAGCATTTGGAGCCCGTTAAGACTCCATACCCGCAAGGGAGTGGTTCTAAACGTGTGACTCCCGACATAACCTTGGATCGCTCAAAGACAGTAATAAATTGTCCTGAGAATGCCAACAAGGTTTTACACCCCCAGAAGAAGACACATTCACCAAAAGACATCATCATACCTGGGAGGTCATGCCAACAGACGATACGATTTTTTGGCAATCATACAAATGAATCGTATTATCAAGTT